GCATCGGCGATCTGAATGTTCATTCCATTCTGATGATGAATTATCGGTACTTAAAGCTACATAATGTGGCAGCCCAGTTGCCATAACAGCTTTGTTTCGTTGTGCAAAATAAGGTAGCGGTGTTATACGGAATAAATCAGTTTTCTTTAACGTAATATCTGTTGGGCGAGCAAATATATTTTGTATTCTGATATGGCCAATTACCTTCGGGATACTATCCAGTGTCAGCATCAGATATATAAATATGATTTGTATGATACACAATAATTCTTCGCTCTATCTGCCTCTCTCAACTACTATGTTTAATATATATTCAATTACCTTCGCAGTTATAGTTTCGGTATCGTCCCGATTCGTCGACAAATCGGACACTTCAAAAGCGGGAGGGGCGGTGTGAGAGTGAGTGTCGACGAATCGGGACTGAATCATAGTTTCAGAAGAAGAGAGAGACGAAAGGAAAAAGTCCATACTCAATATGATGATACCAAGAGGAAAAAGAGAAGAGAGAGAATGAGAGAGAGCGAGAGAGAGCGAAGAATTATTGTCTATCATATAAATCATATTTATCTATCTGATGTAGTTGATATGCAGTTTGTGTTCGGCTTTCTAAAGTTCGAAAACATTCATGTAGTGACAGATATAATGTGAATAGATTGAAGGCAAATTGTGATAAACTCCGAATAGAACTCACTTTACCCTATTCATAAAAGCCTCCGCAAGGGTATGCGAAAGTGAAGAAATAATATCAAGTGACTCACTCTCACATCCTGCCGCCATGTTCTCGTAGTTTTCGTTTGTAAATGACTGTTCATCCGAGAGATTACTAGTATTAATGAAGTAGAACTATTTCATCTTAATTGTTTTTTGATCACTCTGTTTTCTATGAAATTTGCCTTGATGGTTCTTTCGTATACAAAATTTCAGTACATAATCAAACTGTTACAAGCAAAAAGTACTGAAAAAGTCGAGTGTTACGAATTGGTTTACATTATACAACCAAACAAACAAATATAGTATAAAGATATCGTGAATATATGTTGCTAGCCTCTACTCCACACACTCTATAAGCGGCTTGTGCAGTAAATTTCGGGTGGAAAGATATCTAAGAAACAATAATACAAAGTTTAATGTGCAGTATGGCGTTTTTCTCAGAACCTCACTCTCTTCGTCACTAAACCAAAAAACCCAAACATTCTAGAAATCAGAAATACAGAAAACTTCGTAATTCGTGATATATTATGACACAATTCACCTATGGAAAGTACAACTCTTACAGAATTAGGCTTAGGATAGCTTTGGCACCGAATAAAATAGAAGGAAAATTCAAATGTTCTTCTCTCAGTGGCATCCTGGTCCACTTTATCTGATAAATGCACCAAACTGTCAGCAGATAATTGTAAAATACCCTGTGAACCTTCATGGGGTCACTTTAAAATTCTCAGGAAGCCCGTCATAAGTGCAAAATACCGAGGGAGTCACCACGCGCTCTCTTTCAAATCTCTGGAGGGTTCCTGACTTTCATGGAGTGGAGAGAAAGGATCATAGTCATTAGGAACTCCCTAAGGAAGTGCGTAAGTGTTATGCCATATATGTGAGGCTACAGTTCGTCAGTAGTGAGGACTAGTAGTAGACGACGGATGTAATATAAGCGTGTGTATATATCAACATATATGAAGATGAAAGGGAAAAAATATTAATATGTTTATGACTGGACAAAAACTTTGAAGTTTTACCTAAAGGTTAACCGTTTCTCGTGTACGTTACATTTTAGAAAACGAGCACAAATTCCACCCTTTTAAGCCCTTTTTTAGCCTCTTTGCAGTCAAAATACTATCGATTTCTCAGCTTTTATTCTTCATTTCATACGAAATATGGATGATTTGAAATTTGATTTGTTAGACTATAAAAGTGGTTCATATCTAGGTATGCATCAGAACCAGTACTTATACTGGTTGGCTGGCCAGCTTTTACTGAGTACTCAGCCGTCTGCTCATCAAACCGTTTGAGTACCAGCCGTTTCCATAATGGGTTTAGTAATCAAACAATATAATAAACTCCTATTTTTTTCCATGAAGGTAGCATTTCTGAGAGTCTGGCAGAGTATAGATAAAGAATTTAATTCTCTAAAAAGTATTTGCTGGAGCGAGGTTTTTAGAAGCCGATCGTTATGATAAAAATCGCAAATAGTTCTCCCTTTTGCTAAGGTGAGTCTTGAACAACTTTTACAGATGTGATTGTTGTGCATTTCAGTTTAACTGTTTCATGCTTTTTTTCCCATATAATAAGTGTCCAACAAATCTTTAGCATAACCATTGCCTAATACTTGAAACGATGAGGCTGATGCTCCTTGTACTTTATTTCCGGCATAGAAAACATCCATAATATCTTTGGCATAGCCGTCTCCCAGTACTTGAAATGATGAGGCTGATGCTCCTTGTACTTCTGTCCCAGCATAGAAAACATCCATAATATCTTTAGCATAGTCGTCTCCCAGCGCTTGAAACGATGAGGCCGACGCACCTCGTACTTTCTTTCCAGCATAGAAAACATCCATAATATCTCTGGCATAATGACCATTTAAAACTTTAAATGAACTACGAGAAGCACCCTCAATTTTTTCACCCCAATAGTAAACGTCCATTATATCTTGTGAATACCATCCACCGGGTAACACTTTAAACGATGATGCAGATGCACCCTTAATTTGTTTACCCATAAAAAAGACATCTGTGATATCTTTTGCGTAACCATAACCCAAATCTTTAAATGACGATGCACTAAGACCTTCAACTTTTTGTCCATTGAAATAAACATCGGACAAATATACTTGGTAACTACTGGTTGGAATACTCGTTGAACTACTCTGAGATAATTGTCGTCGATGCTGATACTGTTGTTGACTTGTGCCTTGAATCAAAACTGATATGCATATCGATAATAACAGAACTTTATACATTATCGTTGAGAAAAATCTATTATCCCTGATTAAAAGTAAAATGAAATATTGTGGTGCAAAGAAGCTTTTCACTTAAGATATTTATACAAGACTATAAACGCTTTTATGCTTGCAGTAGATAACAGAAATACGATTGAGAAACTATTCATGTGACTATTGAAATAGTATGTGGAATAATCTACTCAAATACAAGATAAAACCTTTATGTTTTTTTTATTGTTTTATTGCCATGAATGATGGGAACGGACAGAGTGTTTCTTTTTTAACTAATCGATATGATTACGCGACAAACGATTTGCTCTTTTGTGGATAAATATATGAAAATCTATGTATATTTGTAGAAAACGAGCACAAATTCAACACTTTTAAGCCCTTTTTCATAGCGTCTTTACAGTGAAAATTCTATCGATTTCTCAACTTTTATTCTTCATTCCGTACGAAACATGGATGATTTGAAATTCGACTTGTTGAAAAATGAATAAATGCGAGTGAGTAGACTGTTTGGTCCGATGCTTTGAAACGATCAGAAATTTCATGATGTCGTAGTCTACTAACAACTTTCATGGCGCAGAAATATTAAAAACTAAATAACGAACGGTCCTAATCAGTTCTGCTAGTTATCTTCTCAAAGATATATGTTGGAGTTGACTCTAAAATTTGAAGGTCAACTAGTCCACTCTTCAATATGAAAGTCAACTAGTGCACTCTTCAATATGAAAGTCAACTAGTGCACTCTTCAATATGAAAGTCATTTTGAAAGTCAACTGGATTGTAACTAGTTGAGTCTAAAGTTCTGAAATCAATTAGTTCAGACGAGATATAAAATTGACTGGTACGAAGTATATCTAGGGGTGACACTTTCTTGTTCCGTTCCTGAGTAACGATAAAGCGGTAGCTTTTATTTCAGAAGTAAAGAGTAAAGATATAATACACATCTTTTCTTTTCTAAGAAAAAGGAAAGTGGCACCTTTTCTTTTCCAAGAAAAGGTGCCACTTTCCTTTTTCTTAAGAAAGAAAAGATGTGTATTATATCTTTACTCTTTTTTATTCTAACAAAAAAAACTTTTCTTTTGTTTATAAAAATAGAAGGTAGGAAAAAAGAAAGTGCCACCCCTAATGAGGGAAGTACCACAACTGTTTAAACGCTTTTGGCCTGAAGCTTAGTGGACAATAGGCATAGGCGGCGGAACGTTTTCAGCCTAGGGTAGGCTCAAGCTCAACTTTATAGTAGAACTAGTGGATGTAAGAATAAAAGTTGAGAAATCGATAGAATTTTCACTGTA